GTTCCAGAGACGACGACGAGGAGACTGGATTACTGAGTGAGGCGGGAGTCGGACAAGACGGGCTGATCTACGAGCGGGACGATGTGGTCGTAAGCGAATACAGCGCTTCGGCCAGGGTGGACATGAGAGAGCAACAATCCGATATGACAACAGACGAGTTTGTGTCTACACAAACGAGTCTTGACTCTGTCGAGCCCACCAGCCAGGACTTGGCGGATGACTTGAAGTCTCGTCAAACCGACACCAGCTCTGGCTCAAGCTGCATTTCTGGACACGGACGAGGCGGTGAGATCGAGTCCCGGGCACCAGGTGGGGTGGACAATGTGGCCAGACGAAGTGAAAGTTGCGTCGATCTGCCTCGACAGAACTCGTGTCCGCCCACTCACGGCGCTGACGGTGACAATGGAAAAGCCGGACGCGCCGGCTCGTTGAAGTATGTCCGTGCGAGAAGTGCTATGCCACAAGTTTATGCCTTTTTTGACAAAAATGCTGCACTTCCAATGCCCCCCGTCTCGGAGGCAGGACCGATCGGTTGTCACCGGCTGCCGGAGACAAACGACACACGCCGCCAATCTATCATTGTTCGTTCCCACTCCGACCCCACAAATGCGACTGGCTCGCCCAGCCGTCGAATCACATGCGCCGAACGATCCGTCTCGTTTCCATCGCCTCGTGCCCACCTCCGTCCTACCGTCACTGCCGGCTTCAGCCCCATCGGCGTTGGCCGGACAGCCTCGCAGTTGTCGCTTTGCCCTTCAGCTGTCCTGGAGACCGAGGAGGCAGATGCGGTGGCGCATGGTGACCGAGCGGAGTTGAACAGCAGCATAAGCACGATCGGAGTGGCTGGTAGCTGGGTTTCTGGCTCCGGCACCCTGAGTGACATCTCCAGCTCATCTCTGATTGGTGCGCAAGGTCCCAGGGGCTTGAATGATAGAAATGAGGAGGAGGAGGAGGAGGAGGAGAGGGAAGAGGTAACGCAGGGAACGTGGGACGAGGAAGGAGAAGACACAACTGCAGATGATGACGAGAAAAGCCTCACTTGCAGAAGATCCGAGCCGAGCGAGCTTGAGTTCTCTGGCCTGAGCACCACGTCAGTTTCCGGTGCCTCCGTCTCGTGGCCCGAGTCGCGAGGGCAACCTTTCACGAGTGAAATCTCGACCGTTTGTGCTTACAAACGGACAAAACGGCTTCGACTAGCCGCAGCTCGGCGGGCCAAGGAAGCCGGAAACCGAGCCTCAAGGCCCGACTCAACGACCCTCTTTTTCCATCGTCTTCTCACCGAGTCCTCGGCTTGGCCGCCACCACCACCACCGTCGCCACCCTCCGTGCCACCTTCAGAGTGCTTGAATGAGGTGCCGGTCTGCTTGAGTCATGTGGCTAGAATGACTGGTACGCCAGGTCTTCTGCCGAGGCTGAGCGGAGGGAGGGGCGGGCAAAGCAGATTCTACGAGATGGAGGGTTGGCGAAATGCCCAATCGTTGGCCCTTCGGCTTCGTACCACTGACGGGACGGCCGGCCACGAGTCGGGCATCCACAGCGAATCGGCCGAACCGGTGGTCTCCGCAGATCGGGTCACCGTGTCTGAGAGATCAGATCGAAGATGTGGACACAAATACTCACAGCCCAACAGCCCTGGACACGCCATCATCTGCGCACGAAAATTGAACGGACTCTCGGCAAACCATTCTGCCAGGACTCGACTTCAGGTGCTACAGCGACACGGAGAAGTGAAATTTTACAGAAATGCCACCAGAGCCGGGAAGGCGCTAAAATCAAACTTGTTAGGTAAGTTGTAGTGACGTGGTCGTCTTCTTCCTTCATGCTTATACGCATCAGTTGGTCGACAAGCCAAAGGGACACTGGTGGATGCCTGCCATTTAAGAAATCGGAATTTCGTTTGGCAAACTGTATCGTATATAAGTAGTATGGGATGTATTCAACCAATTTAGTATAAGGTCAATACATCTCATATTACTGATTTACTGGTAGTCACGAAAACAATACTTAATTCGAAAAATATGTAAGTAGAGTTTCGAGACTATCAGTAAATGAGTATTATGAGATGTATTCAACCTATTTCGTTT